TTCGGCGGCTCCAAAATGGCCGCCGGAAGCCCGGAAATGGCTGCCGGCAGCCGTTTTCACGCCCTGCCCTCGCTTAGCGAGGGCGCGAAAATGGCTGCCAGCAAGGGGAATCCTCGCTGAACAGGTAAGTAAGCAAGGTATTGGAACGCATTAAACTAAGTTTAATGCGTTTCAATACGTTTTCCCTACCCGTTTAGCGACGATTCCGCATAGCGAGGGTTAATCCGGAACGGATTAACCTCGCTATGCGGGGCACCACTTGTATATTCTAAATAAAGTTTGCCATGCATTATTCAAAATGTGTACACTGCAAACTTGTATCAGTGTAAATTTATTTGTTTTAGATTTCTGTCCCTATTTATTTTAATAATACATTTAAAAGGGCAAGAAAGCAGGCCACATAGAACCACAGGAGGTCCACCGCCTTTATGAGTGTTTTAGATACATGGAATTCTTTCAGATCTTCCATAACCCTCCTCTCTGTTACTACCTCCCCAAAATGTTGGATGCCCAACTAGAAATTCAAGGAAGCATTCCTCCATAAACACGCCCAGCCTTTAAGGGCAACATTTAAAGTATTGCATGGCCTGCCCACAGCAACATGCAGGTCAAAGATCTAGGATTGCTCAGTACATTTCACAACACCATTCACAACAGTTGGAGAGCATCTCTTTTTGTTCTCATATTAAACCAACACCCACTCAAGTGTTGTAGGGTAAATGGAAAGGATGGGAGAAACCAGCCTCATTCTTGTTTTTGTCCCCCTCTGGGTATAAGGAGCATCTAATGAAATTAAGCATTGGGCTTGTTAAACCTGAAGAATCTCACATTCCTTGCACGTTTTCCCCAACAAGTCTACAGCTTACATTATAGATGACATGGAACTAGAAACCATGATTAGTCTCATTGCATTTCTTATATTTTACAAATTTCAACTGACACTATTTTCCCTTGCAAAAAAATTTGTTTTAAATTATGTGCTGTCTACCTTTTAGTCCTTTAAAAGGCAATTGTTAAAAAATGCACATTATTATATTTTCAGGGGAGAGTACAGTCATATTAATCAGCAGGAACAACGAAGTGTTGTGCCACTTTGCTTACATAACAATCTCAACATATCTCGATGTGGGGGTGCTCACTACCTTGGTACATGCGCTCGTAATCTCAAGGTTAGACCACTGAAATGCGCTCTACGTGGTGCTACCTTTGAAGTTGATGCGGAAACTCCAAGTGGTGCAGAATGTGGCAGCCAGACTCCTTAGTGGAGCAAGAAAATACCATATTTCTCCTATTCTGGCCACATTGCACTGGCTGCCCATTCGGTTCCACATTGACTTCAAAGTCTTGATGCTTACGTATAAAGCCCTAAACTGTTTAGGGCCTCGATACTTGGCGAAATGTCTACTCCCACCAAGATCTACCTGTGTCACTCGTGCGAGCCAGGAGGTGAGGTTGAGGAGCCTGATACCGAGGGAGGCCTGGAAGGAAAAAACAAGAAACCGGGCCTTCTCAGCAGTGGCTCCTCTCTGGAACAATCTGCCTCCGGAGATTTGTGCGGCCCCTTCGCTGGGTATTTTTTAAAACCAATTACAGTAAAAAGATGGATGTTCAGGCAGGCCTTCCCTCCAGTTAATATTTGATTCTTTGATTTGATTCTTTCCTCTTCTCTTTTTCTTTTTTGGCTTTTGATGTTATGAGAAGTGACAATAGTCATTGAGAAGTAACAATTGCAATTTAACAGCCTTTGGGAGGTAATTTCCCAATATTAATGAGCAATTCACACATATATGTTAAGAAAAGAATATATTTGTACATTTCCCCCCACCCACTAGGAAGTCTTGTGTTCTGCTTGTGTTTTCTATGAGTGTCATAACATACAATTTCTCTTTAATGACAATATAAGTAGTGCTATGCTGGATCAGGCCAGAGACCTATATGGTGCAGCCTTCTATTCCCACAATTACCAATCCAATGTGGTTGGCCATGTGCATTCTGAATCATGACTGCTGAAATCTGCCAGAGCTAGGTTGAGACTATGGGCCTCAGATGTAATCACTGCCACTCAAAGTGAAAGAGAATGTTTCTTTTGTCTGTAAGGAGGTAGTTTTGAGACCTCTTTTAGGAACATTCCCTCTCCCAAACAAATGTTGATCAAGCAAAGTTAGTTATTATCCAATGTGGAATCTTTCATTTTAGAACAAAGTGTTGGAGCCAGTGGTAGCATCTCAAAGTCAGGTGGTTTCTGAGTGGCTATTCTTATTTCAGTCATTTCCAGTCTACAGTGGTTTGATGCAGAAGCAGCCCTGATCAGCCTAGTGGAGGACTTATGCCAAGGAATGGTGGGTGGGTGGAGTTCTATTTGTTTTGGGTTGCTTGATGACTTTTGATAACATTGGCATGGTATCCTGTTGGATTCCCTGGTTGAATTGGGAGGCTTCAAGCCTACCTGAAGGTATATTATGAGAAAGTGATGACATGGCATTTGTGCTCTATATGCAGCTATTGGTATGTGGGCTTGATATTTCCCCTAATGCTATTTAATATCTGCATGTAATTGCTGATAAGTCATCTGGAGGCTTGGCCCACAATGTGAGTGTAGTGTTCACCCTGCTCATTAATATTTATGTAGAGATTTGCATGCACCAGTGGGAGTTGGTGAGGGGTGGAGTTTAGTGGAAGAAAAGGAAAGAGAGAGAGAGAGTTAAAGTAGGCGGTTGAGAGTGAAGAGAGAAAGTTGTTTAGTTGAGAGATAAAGACATTAACTGGACTGTTATCACCTGTAACGATAAACAATTTCTACTTGGTTCTTAAATGATCATTAATAGTGAATAACATTGATGTAATCAACTGGCGGCAACTGAACAACACATTGCTTGTGCCTTTGCTTGGTGAAAAAACCAAGGGACAGGTGGGAACATGACCAATTGGAGCATAAAAAACACAATTTCTTATTAACTTGGACTGGTTCTTTTTCCTCACAAGAGCCAAAAGGAGCTCTTCTTGGGATTCCCCAGACATGGCTTCAGAAGCCCCGAAACTAAGTCTTCCACAAGACTCTAACAAGTAACCACTTCTTATGCCACAGATCCTAACCCCCCTTTCCATCTAGACTCAAGAAAATTCAATTTCACATTGGAGTATCCAAACGCTATGCCACCAATTGGTCATGTTGCCACCTGTCCCTTAGTTGTTTCACCAAGCAAAAACACAAGCAACGTGGTGTTCAGCTGCCACCAGTTGATTACATCAATGTTATTCACAATTAATGATAGAAGTCCGGGCATCATATCATTTAAGAACCAAGTAGAAATTGTTTATTGTTACAGGTGATAACAGTCCAGTCAATGTCATTAACTCTCAACTAAACAACTTTCTCTCTTCAGTCTCAACCGCCTTCTCTCTCGCTCTCCCTCCTTTTCTACTCTTCCGCGTAACTCTGCCCCTCGCCAACTCCCATTGGTGCATGCAAATCTCCAGATAAATATTAATGAGAAGGATGACTGATACAGTCAGCAATCTGCTGATAACATACAACCTATACTGTATGTTCATCTACAAGTCAGTTTGTTGATACTGTACTGTTGTTAAAACTACAGATCAAGTACAAATCACCAAAGGATTTAGTAGTACCAGTTGGGGTGGCAACACTGAGAAGAGGCACTTGTCTATGAGGGTTTTCCCATCAGCAAGACAGGCACAATGCTTCTAAGGGGGAAAAGTTGCCTTTGGAAAGCACTTGGAAGCTTCAGGGGAGACCTTTCTTTTGGACCCACCACCTTCACAGGTGCATTTAGTGGCCCCACAGGAGACAGCCTTCTCCGCCACTGCTCCCAGATTCTGAAACTCTCTCCCACAGGACACCAAGCTGGTCCCATCTTTGCTGTCCTTCTGCAAGCAGTCTTTGGAGAGCCTTTCCTGTCTGAGGAGTTTTAAGTGCAGCCTTATGCCTTCTTCCTTTGAATCTCTCTTTCGTTTTTACAGTACTGTAATTATCATTTTTAGTGTGGGGGTTTGATTCCTTTTACTATTTGTATACTTACCATTGTGCGCTTTTAAATATTGTCTTTTACAGATATAAGCCGCGGTGAGTCCTTTTAAGGGGAAAAAAAGGCGGGGTAAAAATATTCTAAATAAATAAAGCATGTGAAGGACGGCTGTTCTTTCAAAGGGCCACGGGGGGGGGGTCCAGCCGCTCTTCTCTCGTGGGCGCCTCCTTCCCCTCCCCCTCCTATCCCGGGTGGAGGGAGCATGACACCGGCCGAAGAAGCGGCTCAGCGACTTATTTTGATCAGGGGTCGAAAGGTTTGAAATAAGAATCGGGCTGGAGAAAAAGGTCACGCGCCTTTTCAGGATCAGCGTGATCTTCAACTCTTCCACTCTCTCTCTCAGCTCATGCGGAAAGAATGAGCTTCGGTTCCCGGTCAAAGAGAGCCTCCTAAGCCGAGCGCCAGGCGCCCGCCTCGTAGAACCGCCAACCCGACGACGCCCCCCTTTCCCTTTGGCACACCATTCACGGCATCCTGGGGATCGCGCCCTTCTCTCCGCCCCCCCCCACACACCCGAGCACCATGGGCCAGCTCTCCTATCAATCAACCGAGCTCCGCGCTTCCCATAGGGCCGAGCCGGGCCGCCTTGCTCCGTCCCTCTGTTCCCTGCTTGTGGAAGGAGGCGGGCGCTTTGCTGCTGCTGCTGCTCCTCCGCGCGATTGCGAAACATCTGCTCTGGAAGCCAAGCCCGCTTGGCTGGATTCCGGCGTGTTCAAGCCCCGATCACGTTGGTCAGCGTGACGGGAAAGATCGGGGCTGCATTTCTGGGTTAACACTTTCGTCGTGGAAAGAAAAGAAGGGGGGGGAGGTTAATCCTTTCGTCATTGCTTCGAAAGCCAAGGGACCGGACCTGAGGTTTGAAGTTAACCGGGCATCAGGGGGTGGTGTGTAGTCGTTGTTGTTGTTTTAATGTTCCAGAATAACTTGGCGGAAATTAGTGAATAGATAAACGAAGGTCGCAGCTGCCTCGAAGGCTCTTAGGATTGCACGGAGACATGTTCGCCACGCGTATACAATCACGCCCGTCAGGAGAAAAGATCACGAGGTGGGCAACTTGCCTCCCGCCAGATGTTGCTGGATCGCAACTGCCCACCGTTTCTCGCCACTGGCTGTGGGGGCTTAGGGTGGTGGGAGCTCCGATCCGCTGAGGTCTGGCGCACCTCTTGGCGTCTCGGCGTCAGTAGATTGAGGGAGTCTCAATCCCCGACTCCGCCAGCTGGGAAGGGCACAGGTCAGATCCGCCCCGATGGGGCCAAAGGAGGGTTTGTGAAAAAGGATTGGGGGGGGTGACCTGCTGGTTACTCCCAGCTCCATCGAAGCACCATCCCGTCCCCTCATCGCGGGGAAGGGGTGCCCCCTCCTCACTAGGCTCCCTTTCCAACTCCGACCCCAAAAGACGACCCCGTGCCTTCAAAGCGTACCTTCGTGCGCCCGCCCCGCGCCCTCCGCGGCCAGGTCGGCCCCTTACCGGCGCTGTCCAGCGGCTGCCCGGACCCGACGCGCTCGCTGCCTTCCCCGCTGGCGAGCCGACTGCCACTCGGGCGCTCTCCGGTGCTGCTCACATGATTCGGGGGAAGGTGCCTGCCGGAGCTGCGCAGACCGCCCCCTCGAAGGCTTGCCTCTTGCCGAGCGGCCCCATTGGGCAGCCGGTGGCAGGGGCTCGTCCAGCCCTGCCTGCGTGGGACCACGTGGCGGACAGGCGCTCGCTCGCTCGCTTGGAGAGACACCCGAGCGTAAACAGCCCCGTCGGAAATGCTCTCTTTTAAAATGAAATTCCCATTGCGTTTGTTTCGGTGAGGCTCGCTTCGGGCTGGACCTCCGACACGAGCAAGACGCCGAGGAGGAACTAGGTGTAAATACACCGTAAACGGCAGCATAAAGTTCCTTGGACAGCTGTTGAGCGATATCGGTCATGATTAATTAATCTAGAAATAAGAGTGGATCTGTAAGGAATCGCGCATTGTGCATCATGCCGTCTGCACGGAAGAAAGTCCCCATGAAGTCGAGCGGGGCGTGCTTCAGGGAAATGACTTCAAGAGTGCAGGGGAGCCGTTCAGCGTGTTCAGGGCTGGCCCCAGAGACTTTGCTGCCTGAAGCCAAGGACATGGTAGAGCTTCCTTCTCGAAATTATATGACGGAGCTGAAGTTCTATAATGATTTATTCCCAGGCAACTCGGTGTAGGATTGCTTTGTTAATGCCTTCCGCCTGCTTGAAAGACGATCCAGATTGGAAGTAGAGTTCTCTCTGGTGTGCACCCTCTGCAAAGTTCAGCTCTGCCGTTGGTCATGGGGGAGAGGTGACTCTGTCCGTTCATAGGCTGTGCCAATGGCAGGTGTAGATTAAGCTAGCAAGGCTTTGACTGTGGCCTCCATGGCAGGAATACATACCTGCCCTTGGAGGACCAGCCCAGTGAAGTATGGAGAGGCTTCTCTTCAGGTGTTGGTTGGCCACCAGGTGACACACTGGCCACAGAAACTATGGTCACAGTGACGATGTAAACTACTTGTGATGTGCATTGGTGGAAGGACCACATGTACCAATGAAATCATGGCTCATTAATATATTTGCTCCATCATAAGGTAAAGGTCGCCCTTGACAATTTGTCCAGTCGTGGCCGACTCTAGGGGGCGGTGCTCATCTCCGTTTCCAACCCATAGAGCTAGCGTTAGTCTGAAGTCAATCTTCTGAGACACGGAACACTGTTACCTTCCCACCGTGGTGGTACCGATTCATTTACTCCCATTTGCATTTTGCATGCTTTCATACCACTAGGTTGGCAGGAGCGGGGATTCGATCTTATGACTGCAGGTCTTCTGACCTTGCAGCACAGAGGCTTCTGTGGTTTAACCTGCAGTGCCACCACATCCTTCCGCAGTGCCACCATGCTCCATCATAGTTCTCTTGAAATATAAATATGAGCATAAACTAATTTTTTTATTAGTTTGACTGCCCCTGGACATGCTGGTGCCAATTTTGAAACTTGTGTTAGAGAAGGTTTTGGGAGTCTCAACAAAAGCAATTCTCAAAGTTTCTTGAAAAGAGAAAAGTAAGTCATTCTGTCACAATTTGGAAAAGTTATCCTAGAGTTAATTCTGGAGTTGTGTAATGGAACGTATCATCTGGAACAGGTGCCCTTAAACATGTACAGTGATTTTCTCCTGTGCTTTATTGTCTAATATTCTCTGAGATGGTAGGAAAGCAGGGATTGAAGACATGAAACATATGAAGCGCATTGATTAAATCCACAAAAGCCACCCTCTGATCTCTCTCCCTTGGCCAAATTATTATTCCCTTTCCCCCACCTGTGGCCTTTGAAAACAACAGCTGTAGGACTATTATAAAATAAAATAAAATAAGGGGGCAAGACCTTTCCCTGGCAGAGTCAGCTCTGCCTTCTGTAACCTGAGAGCTTCTAACGAAAGTGCTAGTTTGTCGTTTTGTTATAACTTCTAGACACAGCTGAGCCATAATAGCTCATATTCTGAATGTGAAAGCACTCTTACTTTGTATCTCTATTCTCACATGGTCCTTGATTGATTGATTGATTGATTGATTGTGGTGACAATGGTTTAAGGTGAGAGCTCTGATTTGGAAGTCCTGAAACAGAATGCCCACCCCCTATGAATTCATAAATAATGGAATCCTGATTCTGTACAAGTCTACTTTGAATCAAGTCCCATTGAGCTCTGAGAACATTGCTCTTGAGCAAATGTGTGTGGGATTATAGCTGAAGTCATATTATAACATCCTTGTCATAGTTCCCACTATCCTATAGCATTGTGGAGACCACACATGAATATATTTGATGCTTTCAACACTAAAAATTTATGGAGCAATTATTATTGTTACTGTTGATTTTGTTTTGATAGGCACTTGATCTATGTAGCAAACACATTGTATGAATATATTATTCAATGTAAGCTGTCATAGTTGACAGCAGGATCAAGTTTGTATTTTCAAACACTAAGGAAGTTCTATTAGAAGTTTTGCTTGGGTTCCTAAAGCTCATATAGTATGTTTACTTCCAGTGCTTTCTCCCCAGAAGGCTCTAAATCTTGCATTAACTTGTAGCCAGGTTAATTATCTTACTAGGAATGGTAATGAGAAAAATACCAGCATTAAGTTGTCTTCTGCAGGCTGCCAGCACTCTTGATCTTCCTTTGATTGATTGAGGGAACTGCCCAGATTTCTGCCACAGCTAAATAGCATGTTTTAACAGGTAGTACCTCCAAGAGAGAAAACAGCCAGTAGTTTAGGTAGCCAGAATCTTTTGAGCTATTTTCCCAAGTGGTAGGGTTGTAATTTACAACTGTGTCAAGAAGTTACTACGTTGGCATCAGTGCAGCTAAAACAGATGTACATAGTTTTTATTGTTGATATTGTTGTGATCAAGTTCTAAACCTTAGTGACATGCTGAAAACAAACTAGGAGGCATCAGTTCAATAATTCTTTGAGAGCTGCAGTGTGATATTGCTGATCTTCTAGCAAAAAAATAGGTAACATGCTGTTAATACAGGCTGAGTACTTGAGGATAGCCAATGTGGCACCAATTTATAAAAAGAGATCTGGCATGATTCAGGAAATTGGTGGAAACTATTCATGACAAATATATCAAGCATATACAGCAGGATGAGCAACACAAGGATGAGCAGACTGCAGATGTCCACATAGTTGCAGCTACTACTACAGGTGTTTCAGTGCACCACACTCTTGGGAATAAATCGTCTTACTTTTACTTTAAAGCAAGGCATGGAGGAACACATAGCTTGCAGTTATGCTAAAACAGAATGGCCATTTTGACTTCATAGTAGCATATTTGGTGGTGCGGTAGGAGCATGCACTGGAAAGATTCTGCTCTGAATTGAGGTGGGTGGAACATCACTAGTGGAAGTTGCTCACCCATGATTTGCAAGATCAGCCTTCAGCTCAGCATTTTGTGCCTCACATGTTAATAAATCTTCAGTCCAGATAAAAGTCTCAAATCACAGTGTCATAGGTGTGGAACTGTGTAAAAGACAAATACCTCCTTTTTACTCAACTTTTTCCTATTCCATAAATAGTTTCTGTGATTCTTTCTCTCTGGGCCAAAATCCTGTTGCTTTAGTGTAGAATATCACACTAGGCTAGGCTCACTGAATCAGTGGGGATTTTGTGAATTAGCTCCTCCATAAGTTCCATTGATTCAAATGGGCCTAATTTAATGTGATTTACTTTAACACAGTAAGTCACAATTGGAGTAGGCCCATTTGAATCAATTGAACTTAGAGAATGAGTTGCCTCACCAAATCCCCATTGATTCAACCTAGTGTGAACTACTATGCTAAGCAGTGGGATCTTGGCCATTCTTATGTTAACCAATAAATAAACACATTCCATCTTATGCTGAGTTTCCCCATCTTTCCCATGCTTTGTGTTTATTTTGTTTTCATGTAGAAATATGTACTTTAAAAAAACCCTATAAAATGAAGATGCCCTAGGCCTCTTATCTAAAGTATGGGAAGCCCAAATGACAAAAATGAATGGAACAATTATAACAATTATGATAATTTCAAATAAGCAAATACTGTAGAGTTGTAATAATAAAAACAAACAGAAATACTTGGACACAACAGGCATCCAAACCAAACTTTTCTTGCCTAGTCCTCCCTTCTGACACAGGGCAATAGCTGTGTACAAGGATGAGGTTAAAGCTTGGGGAAGACTCAGATAAAGGGACAGGTGTCTACAGACCCTATCTTTTCAGCTCTGTAGCCTCCTTCACCAGCTCAGCTTCAGACTGCTTCAGTTTAAGTTTTCCACTTTTTATAGGACGCCGCCCCAAAACGATAACAACTTTATTATACCCCTGTATAAGCTATATACACCTTCATTTACTTCTAACCTACTACCTCAAATTCATCTTAATATTAAATGTGTCACATTGAGAAATAGCATTGCTCAAGCTGGATGCTTCCAGATGTTTTGATCTACATGCTGCCTGAACACTGGAGGTAAAAACATCTGTGAAAGTCTAATGTGGAGAAATCTTGTGAAATTTTCTTTCTTCTTAAAGGCACACTTATTTTTCAGGGGCTTGTCTACTTATGACTGAACATAAAGTTGCCAGCTGCTACAACTCTAATAGCAACTTGACCTGCAGACTAACAGCTGAGAATATGTCTACATGCCATGAAAATGCTGCTATGTTCTTAAAGGCACAGGAGCATTCAAGGCTGGGAAGTAGTGGGAAAATCTCTCTTTATGGTCACTTGGCAACCCTAGATAAAACTGAATGAGTTCTCAGGTTTCAGAAGAGCCAGAGAGGGCCCACTCCTTCATCTTATGTTTTCAAAAAGCCCAGTAGGGTGAGGGGCACAATTTGAGCAAAACGGAGGGAAGTCAACGGCAGAGCTTGAAAATTTTGCTTTATGGTGGCTATTATTACCTGTAACACGCCACTTTGTGGGGTAATAAGACCATATCATTAGTTCTGGAAAATAACACCATGACTGGTAATTGTCACATTTTAAGTATAAATAGCATATATTCACTACTTTGAAAATGAGGGGTCTTGAGAGAGGGGCTTTTATAGAAAGTTTGATCGTTTTTAAAAAGTACATTGAAAGGGACATGCTAAAAACAACTATCAACACATCCTCTTTATATAAAAATAATATGCAGTGG